CATTGCAGATATTTGGGCCAGTAATGCAGATTTTGCGTTTTGAAAACATTGGCGAGTTGATCGAGCGTGCGAACCAGACTAAGTATGGTTTGGCCGCAAGCCTTTTTACACAAGACCTTGAGAAGGCATTGCATTTTTCATCTGGGATCAAAGCAGGAACTGTGTGGTGAGCATTAGCAGCTTTCTCTACAGCTGTGGCTTGAGTTGGATAGTGAAAATTACTGCGCTTTTGCAAGTCATTTGGTGTGACTGATTTTTAAAAGGCACACTGTGGTTTCATATAATTTCTTGCTTGAGTTGCAGCATTTCGTGAGAGAATTGGCGTGGTTTTTATTTGTAAAGAATGCAATATTTTATTGTAATAATTACCAGTTAAATTCTTATCACAAGACATTCAGTATTGAGCTTGTTGAAACATATTGTATATGCTGCAAATCAACTTGAAAAAAGTAACACTCGCATCTCTTGCCACTGTTATTTTGCACTGTTTGTGTCATAGTGAAATCAAATTTTTATCGAATTGGCCTTGAGAAGATAGCGTGGCGCCACCCATGTCATGATGTCACTCATAGGATGCCGAATTGTGTCATCTGCTGGTACCACGTGCTTTTTCCACCACGTTTCTTTGTTGTGTACACCGCATGTGCTTCCCATTTGTCATTAAGCTAATTTTTTTTTTAAGATGGGGTATGACCTGGTAAAGCTTAGAATAACGGAGCTGGTGGTTAGGTGTTCATTCTGGAAGACGCGAACACGGACACAGGAAGGAAGTCTTCTGTTGTTGGGGTGTGCTCACTTCCCTGTCTTTCAGAATGAAAGACCTGATATTTCAGACAAACATACTGCGTACGAGCCAGAGTCCCCTGGTGGGACTCATTTGTAGCTCTCTACAATCCCCGCGCAGCAGATGTCATAGCTAACGATGCTAGTGACATCACGAAAGCTAAGCTAAGCTGCTAATACGTTATTAAATATTTTCCCCGCGAGAATTCTTGGACTATGTTTAAAAGGAGCCACAGAACAGTAATAACACCCACCCGTGCGGTTCAAATGCACGGCTGTCAATGAACACTTGCGAATGGTGAGCGTGGAGAATTGAAAAACATGCTTACAAGCGCTCGTGGGATATACAGGGCCAATTTGCTTGCTCTTGTGAACTGGAAATCGCTTGCTGATTTGCTGGCCAATTGACTGCTCTTTTTAGTTGTGATATAATAAGATTGATGGTTGTGGTGTACACGTATCCCGAAGGAGTATGGCCACCAGCGTGGGTCCGGTCTTAGCGAGCCGGAGGGCACGCGTTAACCGTCGCCGTGGCGAGAACACGATACTGCTCAAAGTCGCAACACTTTATTGTGGCAACACCAAATGCAGTACAGCCTGTTGCAAAGGCGCGACAGGAAAGAAATAGGCTTATCCACGCCACGGGCATAAAAGTACTGCACAGGGTGCCACGAGCACGTCCCCGCGGTAAAGGTGATCCACGGAGACACCGGGACCAAGGCCCGGTTGCTCGAGCGAGGGCAAAGACGCTCACGTTGGCTTCGGAGGGAGGCGGGTCGGCGCAGCTAGGCCACGCACTAGGACACCGTATCGCCCTTCGGCCGTGCGTACGCAGTGGGGCAACAAAAGGTGATCGTTCGCCTCGGGCGCGAGGCGCCGTCAGCGAAGTCCGACGAGCCCTGAGCGACGGGAGTCGACAGACGGAAAAGATTGCGTGGGTCACCGTTTGCAGTCCCGAAGAGTATCTGTCTGCCCGCTCCCGACACAGCGCGTGAAAACCTCTCAGGAGACTCCGCGCGCGGCGCCACAGTCAACATCCGCTACAGGGTGGGGGGATTAAACGTCAATCCGCTCTTCCAGCGCGGCAGACAGCAAAGGAGGGCAGACATGTCGGGACATGAGAACGGCAGAAAAGGCGGCAAAGCCCGCGCAAAGGCAGCGGGCTAGCCTCAATTCCCACATGGACATTGGAGTTTCGTTTTTCTTTTACTTCATCCACTTTTCGCCGTGGCTTACACTTGTCGGCAACATATCGATGTTAGTTTTCAGGGCCTTCGATGAGATGGTAAATGTGACTGTGTTTGTTTTCTAAGGACCTCGTCGTGGGAGTTATTTGAGATGTGGTTGGTCTTTTTTTTACTTAATTTGTTAATTTACAGTGAGACTGTCGTTTTCAATCATCAGCAAATTGATTGGCAAATGCATGCAATGAGCTACCGGGAGCCTAGTGAGCGTACGTCAGCTCAGCTGTTACTGAACATCTCAGAAATAGTGGCGAACATGAAATCTTTTTTACGAAAGTGCTTTCTGCGGACCCGCGAGTTAGCATTAGCGTCTTATTCCATTTTCAGCTTTACCAGTCAAGTGTAGCGCATTCCTTCGCATTTGGGGCAATGATGAAAAGCTACCGGGACATTTGTTGCATACACTTGGCACTGAGGCATCTAACTGTACACCAACAAGCTAAAGCTGCACGCTGTCTGCCGCGGTGGTGTGGGGGTTACAGTACTCGGCTTCTGACGTCATTTGTTCGATCCCGACCGCGGCGATCACATTTCAATGCAGGTGATATTCTGGAGGCCTGTGCTCGTTAAAAAAATACCAGATTGCTAATATTTCAGGAGCCCTCCACTACGGCATCTCTCATAATCATATCGTGGTTCTTGTGCGTAAAACCACGGATATTATATTATTATCAAAAGCTGCTTGTACGCAACCTAATAGTGCTTACATGGCAATAAACCACGGATATTATATTATTATTAAAAGCTGCTTGTACGCAACCTAATAGTGCTTACATGGCAATGATATGTCCAGCAGGCCAAATTAAGCTTTACACGCCAGGCAACGAATGCCGCGCACAGCGATCTCACCCTAATGTCGCATTCCACAACGACTATACAGCAAGGTGAGCAGAAGCATCCTATCTGTGACGTCAAAACAATTGCAGCGCACCTCTGACCTGTACCTATAGAGGCCCTCGCGACCAATGTCTGTGCTACGACATAAATCATACGAAAAAATCCAATACTAACATGGGTTGTGTGCTCGTGCCAGTGTTTCGACAAGTGGACTTGTCGTCAAGGCTCTGTTCAGATGTTCTTCATCGCAGGCTTCCATGTTACCTTTCCTTCTATCTTTTTTTATTTATATAAATCAAAATTACAGGAGTATAAGGCTTTTAAACATAGTACACTAAATTAGCATCCACTTTAGTTCAATTAGTGATGTGGGTTTTTTAAATTTCATGTCTACAGAACAAAAAGAAATTTAAACGTAGACGTAAAGCTAGCAGTTTCATTTTAATGAGTCTTTGGCATGGCTGATAGCCTAGACAAACCAATGGACGAAGCATTTAGTCACTGATCGATTATTGCAACATTTCCTGTGGCACCTCCACTACCTTCTTTGTACTATGTAATGTACTACAGCTGAACCTCTTCATAAGAGACATGCACTGGACAGTGAGTCTTTTCCGTTATAAGAGGTGTCTCTTATAAGCAGGGTACTTTATATGCACTTTTTTATCAGCCCCTATTTCACTCTAGGCACACTAGTGTCTTTTTTATCTGTTAGTCTCTAAGGGTTTAGATTGCACTTTATAACGGTCAAGTTTCAGATATGGTACAATGCCTCTCTAGATCTTTTTCTGGAGCACCATTCATATTGCGGATGTCTCAATATAAATAGTTGTTAACATTAGTGCAACTGTCAATGCCACTACAGTTCACATCGCTGATATACGGGCTGCACCGCAGCATGCAACTATTTGAAATGGGGTGGACCGTTTGGTTGAGTATTGCAAGTAGTCGCTTTCATTGGCTGACTCGAGTCGTAAGCCGTGCACTCATACTGGCATAAGCTACCATTGTCTCAACTTACAGCAGCATCTAAGTGAATTGTTTTGCCATTCACCACTGCACACTTCAGGAATTTATGGAAAGTATGTTACAAAGCAACTTCCATATTTCGTTTTCATGCTGCGTGGTGTGGAAAAAAATTAATTTTATCATTTCGTATAACCTGAAAGTTTATTTTCTGCTTCAGGGTGAACTGCTACGATGTGTTGACTGCCCAAGTACCTTTTGGTGGTTACAAAATGTCTGGCATTGGCCGTGAGCTTGGAGAATATGGCCTTGAAGCTTACACCCAAGTGAAATCGGTAGGTTCACGGGAAGCTTAATTGGCTGGCAACTATTTTCAGTCTATAGCCAGCTCTAAATCCCAATGATGAGACTGAAGCAAAGGGAACTAGTCTTCCCCCTTCATTATTTTCTCCTGCTTCCAAAGACATGACCAACTTCCTAGTTATACAGCTACAGTTCGCAACTGCTGTGATAACACTTCTGTGTAATGGCACTTCAACTTTGGCCACAGGCACTCTCTTGAATGCTTTTACTTTTGCTCAGTGTTCTTTGAAAAGCACACCAAAGAGTAGTATGGAATAATTTAGGTCTTATGTACTTCAAAGACATTTCTCAACCACTTAGTGGAAAGTATTTTATATGACAAAGTATGAACAATATTTACACCTCGCATGGATGAATTTATAACTGTGGAAAATTGAATTGGCTGACTATACATTTTTTTTTGTAATGTGTAGGTATGTTTCAAGTTGGCACATGTAATACACTGGAAAATCACTGCCATCCTAACTGTTGAAGTTCTCAATATACTGCAAATAACAAAAGCAATAATATGAAGCTTATTGAATGCTACTTACCATGTTTTCTTTTTGTACCTTCAGGTGATCATGAAGATCGGACAGAAAAACAGCTAAGCTAAAATATACATCACTTTGTTATGTTACATATAACCTGTATATTTTTATATTCCTAGTTGAATAAATGATTGGAATTTCCATATTTGTGTGTGCATCACAATAAGTGCTCCATCCCTGTGGCTCACATCACTGTTAATGAGCTCAAAATATGACAAGATTAGCAAGGAGACTTGCAGTGTAGACACTGGGCAGCCACCACCACCAAGAGGCGAGATATGTTTTGTTGCGATTTATTTCTTCAAGCAATAGCTAGGGACTCTACCTAGCGACATAGAAGTGTGACCGGTGTAATAGGAGCTGCATACAATTTTCAGGATAAAGAGGCTTAGATATGAAACTACTATTTTTCCATGCCAAAGGACGACTGCAGTACAGCAAGCGTGTGTCAACAGCTTCACAGTCCTTCGTACGTCACTACATTCTTGTCCGTCTCGTGCAACCGCACACAAAGCTGCAGCTCCTTGGGCAGCACCTTGTGCAGCCGCTGCCAGACAAACACTGCTACATTTTCTGTTGTGCTGAAAAAAAATGTCATGCCAGCAGTATTACATGGCATGCAAGCATTTGTGTTTTCAAATGAAATTGACTTCTGTGAAAGCAGCTCAAGAGTTTTTAACTGGTTATTTCCGGAGGATCTGGCAGCAGTACAACTGCCTAAGACTGCAAATAAGGCGTACTGGGTCTATAAACTGAACCCAATGACATAAGTGAAGCCATGTAGTCTCTACCATATAACCATCTTCTAGCAATACAAAGTCTTTTTTTTTGCACAGCCAGCATGCTCTAACCTACCTCTTTCATTTTACTGAGCCGCCCCCCACCATTTTGGTAGGGGCTGAGACAACCACTATTGACCAGAAGCATAGCTTCACAGCACAGCCTCACTTTTCTGCCAGGGGAAGGGCATGTGCAGGGGTGTCGTGAAAAAGACTGTTTGAAGCCAGTTGCATTCTCTAGAAGCCCTCTTTTAAACTGCCTAATTTTCATGAATATATATAGTATGCAACTTTTCTGTATTATAAGGGAATGCATGAACTGGAAATAACTTGTGTTAGTTCATACCTGACTGCTCTCTGAAAGTATGGCACATCTTTGTCCAAATTCTTGTGATCAAGAGCATCCATCACTTCACTCTGCAATGGCCATACATGTTTTAGACAATGCATGTTGGTCCTTGTTTGCATAGCGGAATTCGTTATACTGCACCATGCACTGTCACTGCAAGTACACAATGCATACAGAATGATTTGGGCACTGCCCAAAGCTTCGCACAGGACTAGCAATGAATAGATGTGGTTTAAAAAATAGTTTTTTAACTGTTCAATTGTGGGCATAATTTCGCCGACTGTTTTAAGAGTGAGCTGAGTATTGAAAGTAGAGTTGCTAAGCAATTGTTCTCGCACCAACTTGTCTCGAGTTGTTCAACACATGAACATTTCATAAATTGAAAATAAAAGTGTTTGATGTGTGATGGACTAAATATTTGTTGGATTCTCCACAGTTATTTAACTTGATCTGGAAATACTTGTACAGCCTTACTCATTAAGCAGTTTGTGGACATGTTAAGAAATTGATATTATGGCTTGTAGTGGTGGAAACTTGCCCAAGGCTATGGCAACAATTCGGACCTTTCTTGCTGAATACTGCTGTTTGAAGCAGAATTTAGGCATAGCAATGCAGATAATTTTCCTAGCGACCTGATTATTATTTTTCTCGTAGGAGGTAAACATTATTTTTTTACTACCTTAACTGGTCCGTTAATCTTGTTAATCCAGTCTTCATTTAGTAGTTTGCCCCCTCGCTTGTGGTTATCTTATATCTAAGCAGATTTTTGCCATATTTGCACATGATGAGCAGGTAGTTTTCAGTATCAACTTCAATAAGATAAAAATTCAGGCAAGTTTGTCTTCTGTAATGAGTAAGCCTCTGCACAAAACATACCAAATCTTTAATGATGAAATGAATGCTAACAAAATGAACACATATACAACACACAAATATACTAGGATTGCAAAAGAAGGAATTGAAACTTGACCTGTCAGCCTTATAGTTTCAGCTAAGGGTAGAAAAGTCAAGAGGGCTGACCTGTATATATTTCTTCAGGTCTATGATGTTGATTACCATTCCTGTGGCTGTGTCCACCTGTTGCGGCAAAGTGCAAACCAGAAAAAAAAAATCGTACCTTGCATGTCCTGATAAGCTAGAAAATATGTACACCACTTACAGGGCCAGTGACTGTGACTTCCACTGAAAAGAAATGTACGCTGCAAGTAATAACACTCATGGATACTGGTGACAAATCTTGCATACCACAGAAAAACAAAATGCTCACATTTGTAGTTGTGACCATGACCATTTGGGTTGTTGCACTTTCCAAAAATGGCAGCATTTTGAGCATCTGAAAGGGATGGGCTGCAAACAGACACAAATGCTGTGACCTTAGAATAAGGTCAGCTTTTTTCATGCAACGCTGTGTGCCGAATGTTATGTTTAGAAAGTACACATGGTATAATTGCCCTCTGTTATACAGAGAGTCAGTAGAGCAAGTGCTGCATTATCACCAGACAAGTTTTCAGGCGGAATTGAGCTTATAATGATAGCCTTCCATCTAATCCTTTAGCTTTAGTGTATATCTTCCAATGCCCTGCCGCGGTGGTCTAGTAGCTAAGGTACTCTGCTGCTGACCCACAGGTCACGGGATTGGATTCCGGCTGCGATGGCTGCATTCTCGATGGAGGCGAAAATGCTGTAGGCCCGTGTGCTCAGATTTGGGTGCACAATAAAGAACCCTAAATGGTCAAAATTTCCAGAGCCCTCCACTACGGCATCTCTCATAATCCTATGGTGGTGTTGGGACATTAAACCCCACATAACAATCAACCAAACCAAAATCTTCCAATATTTCAATCTTCTCACAAGACCAATTCAAAAGCTATGCATAGGCTAGTTTACAGGCATGGGCGTCTGCAGGGGGGTGCAAAAGGGGCACTTGGCCCCCAAGTCACACCAGAACTTGCCCACACCCAAGCAACACCTGCGCTCTCCCCCTCCCCCATACACGATGCAACGCTGGTTTGCACCTCTCAAGAAAAAAATCCTGCTGATGACCATGTTTTCAGAGTGATTTAAGGCATTCAATGTTAACCTGAAGCAGTGAATTCCTATTCTGCAGTGCCCACGGTTACTGTGAAGGCTTCTTGAAAGGTGCATATCAGGAACTTCCACGTGGCTTTGGTGGAGTTAGACAGCATAATACGATACAAAGGAAGTACTGCCCAAAAACACATCAGATATACACAAATGCGAGCATTGCTTTGATGCTTCTATAGTAACTAATTAAGAAAAAGTGTCATACACTTAAGATGAATCATTTTACAGCGAAAGCTGTTCTGAGATCACAACTCTGGTCACACACAGTTGTCCGCTGGCGCCGCTGGTGTCCGTAACTACATAGCTCGAAATTAGAAAAAAACCTAGCACCAAAGACACAGTGGGGCTCGAAACCTGGGTATGCTGGTTGCCAGCCCAGTATTCTACCACTGAGCTATGCTGGCACTTGTGACTTGTTGGCAAACTTGCCTTACGCATGCTTGCCTAACGCAAGTTTGCCTAAGTTGGTTGCCTAAGTTGGCAAACTTGCCTTAGGAAAGCAATCGCGTTAATACGATTTATAAAGCATTTTAAAACAGCAAAAGAACAACCAGTCGTCTCATAACGCAAATAGCGTAACGAGTCTGTCGTCCAATGCTCCAACCCATTACAAAAGCTTGTTTTGTTCCCCTATTAACTGTGGCGCATACCCACTTCAGCCATAATTCTTCATCGTCGTCAGCCTCAGCATGAACAATTGGCATGAAATTCTTTCCAAAAGTTTTAACGGATACCACGCTTCTTAGAAGAATGATGAAAAATAGCATAGCGAATGCCGGCCTACAACCCAAAAGTTTAATATTGGCGCCCTAGTGGATATGAAGCAAGTGTGCTTGCAGTAGTTACCCAATGAGTATTTTGAAAAGGCTCCCAAAAGCTGCTCTTCTAGCTTTCGCTGTGACTGCTACACCTTCCACGCAAGCGTGTTGTTTTCTTTGTATTATTGTATATTTGTACCAATATTTTAAAAAAATCCAGCATAGACACGTGATATCTGGGCACTGTATTTGTCAACCCCAGCCATGCGTGCTTTCGCCCAACATTTATAGAACTTGTTCAGTTTGAAAACTCTGCAGTGTTGAGCGGGGCGGGCCACTTGCATAGTGGTGACTAAAAGTGGCACTGTTGTCGCAACAGGCTTCAGCTAGTCCAGCAACGTGCATCAGATAGAGTATGTTTTTCGCTGCGATTGCACTCGGTCCGCGTGTTGCAGTACGCAGAGTGAAGATATTTTGCATGCGGTTGTGTTTTAAATAGCGTAGATGTTTGTTCGTCTGCAATGCCGACTTGTTGTGTGCCTAAGTGCCCGAGGCACTTCTGACCTCCACGTGACCTGGCTCTTCGTGTAGTGTGGGATCACGCTATTCCTCATCTCTAAAAGGCTGTCAGGTAAATCGCGAGTTTGCGATGTGCATTTTTATGCCGATGACACCTTGAAAACCTACACAACATTCTTGATGGGGAAAATGTCCCACATGCTCACGATAGTGAAGTGGAGGCTTGTATGGGTAATTGTACCTAAAGTTTTTCGCGACCTCCTGTGGTATCTTCAAAGCCACAAAAAAAAAGATTCCAGATCAAGAGAGGATGGACGAAGAAAAATGCTTCATTAAAGTGCATTAAATCGCCACGCAAGCCTGAAAACTGTGCGGATACGGCAAGCGGTGCACTCACTTTTGAGTGTCGCATCTCACTTTCGACGACGACGGTAATGCCATTCCACACAATGATTTTGCAACTATTTTCAACGACTACTTTACATCTGTGTTTACAGTGGAAAACTTTTTCAATATGTCTTATTCCCTAGAGGTTAGCTACGAGTACATGAGCCCTATAAATGTTACATCTGAGGGAATAGCGTCATTAATCAACAAATTGAAAATATCCACTTTATCTGGGGCAGACAGCATTAACTCGAAAATTCCTAAAATAACAGTTATCCCGTCAAGTATATTTCTCGCTCAAATTTTTCAGCATTTGTTGAGCACAGGTTAAATTCTATACGATTGGAAAATTGGCAAAGTCATTCCCGTTCACAAATCGGGAAATAAAAATAAGGTTAGTAACTATCTACTGATATCACTAACTAGTGTCCCCGGTAAATTACTTGAATACATCATTTTCTCAAATGTCTCATTGTCTAAATGTAACTTGGAATCTAATAATTTTTTTTTCATAACCAACATGGGTTTAGAAAATGTCATTCATGCAAAGCGCATCTTTTAGAATTTACTAATGACTTATTCTGACATGCTGATGACAATTCTCAGACCGACTGCATATTCATAGACTTTTCAAAAGCATTCGATCGTGTCGACCACTGTTGGCTCATAGAAAAGCTTTCATCACTAAATATTGATTCCTTAATTGTCTCCTAGTTTCGAAACTTCTTGTCATTCCGCAAACAGTTCGCAATCATCGAAGCAACTTCATCTCCCATATCTGACGTTTCTTCTGGTGTTCCACAGGGGAGCGTCTTAGGCCCTCTATTTTTTCTTATATTCATTAACGACCTGTCATCCCAGATAGCATTCAAAATCAGATTGTTTGCAGACGACTGTGTGCTATATAGAAAAATTGATATGGTCGGTGACCATAGGGCGCTTCAACGTGACCTTGATCGTATAACACATTGGTGCGATCAATGGCTTATGAGCTTGAACACTAACAAATGAAAAATTATGAATTTCAGGCAAAAGCTATCGATTTACGCATTTACATATTCCCTTAAGAATGACACTCTCTTAACTACATCTTGCTACAAATATCTTGGTATTCATTTCACACTTAGCCTATCGTATTCTACGTGCATAGACAAAATAACTGCAGAAGCATTGCAAACATTAGACTACCTAAGACGTAACCTTATCAGCACACCTGCGACTACTCGCAAGCTCGCCTACCAAACTTTCATACGCCCTCGGCTTGAATACGCATCAGCCATCTGGTCTCCCCACCAGGACTACCTTATAAAATCCATTGAAGCTGTCCAGAATGGTGCAGCTCACTTAATTGCTCATGAATACAACAGACTATCTAATATAACAAAAATTAAGCATTCAATTTCACTTCCACACCTTCAGACACGTAGGAATATTTCTCTAATCTGCTTGCTACACGAGACAATTTACACTAACCGTCAAATCACGTTGCCTCTCACAAAACCACATCGCTCTTCGAGCCGTCTCAATAATAGCATGTGCTTTCAATGCTTTTCAGGGCAAACGCTCGCATATAACAACTCTGCACTTCTTCGGGGCATAAAAATGTGGAACACACTACGTTCTAAACATAGCAACACATGAGGTATTTGTATAAATAAATACTGAAAGTGTTCGATTGCTGTCTGCGAGTTGGCGGAGTATCGACAGCTCTTGTACCCAGCCAAACAAATTTGCTCAGACCCGATTGGGAATTTCCAATCAGATCTGATTAGAACCACTTGAAAATTTCCAATTGTGTTTTGGGACACTAATTGGAAGATTCCTGTGGGTTTAATAAGTCATCCTGTTTGGTTTGAATGGGACTGACCAATAGAACCGATGGGTTACACCATCAAAATCGAAATGGATCAACCAATTAGACTAGCAGATGAGCCCAGTTCACCAATTGAAAATAATATAGAGTTGTAATTGGATTTATCAATTGTCTGACCAACTCAAACCATCAAAAGCATACACGTAATCCAAATGGTTTGACCAATTAGATTGATTGGTCAGACCAATCTGTGTAATCGGAAAGACCGTGTTGCTCTGAATTAAAGGTACGACCTGTTAATCTTGTTGGAGACGCATCAAAGTTAAGAAGCCATATTGTTGGATTGCATTACTGTGAAATGAAAAATTTCTTTACTATTGTCATGTTCATTTCTCTAAACATAACCTTGCTCAACATGCCAGTAAATTCAGCCTAGTAAAGTTGTGCAAGGTCCCAAGAACAATTGGGTAATTTTTGTGGCCAGCTGTAAAGTGAATCGATCAGAAATAAATGGCACACTTTGTCAACCATATTAAAGCGCAAAGATATTTTATTTCAGTAGTATTGGTGTAATCGCAAGCACTTTTCTATGAACTATTTTCTTGTTTCACAGCTTTACTCATACCTGTGATGAACTATTGAAACCAATTGACAATCAGTGAAGTTCAATTATAATAAATTGGTGAAATTCCCATTAGAACCCCTATCTGGTATAAAAGGTCCTCAGTGCATCCCTATTCATAAATTTTACTGTAAAACTCTATTAATCATTCGATCACCCGGAACCCTCATGCATTTCTCTTGACTGGATATTAAATATAAATAATACCAATTCATTATGCAATGAGGCCCTCCCAGAACTGTTCTATATAGAGTACCAATTGAACCTGTAACAACCTGTAATTGGTCCTATATATAAAAATATAAAATTGAAGGCCTGTATAATGATAAGGCCTGACATTTACAAATACCCAAACATTCAATTGGAAGAACGATCTTTCAATATGGATTGACCACAATTAAAATTGCACAAACATTTGGATTATGGAAAATTCTAATGGAGTGGCAAAATAAAAAATTTGCACCAATTTCCGTGACCATTTAGAAGTATTAATTTCAATTAGGCTATCCCATTGAGATTCAAGGTCCCAATCGGTTTTAGCAAATGGGGGCCATTTGGTATCGTCATGCAGTTGGACCAAGTGACTTTTTTTTTTTTTACTATGTTAGAGAACCAATTGAAGAAGAGCCCATGGGCTAGCATTGTAATTTGAAACTTCAGAGCATATCCCATTGAAACCTATTAGATAATGGGTCACACCAACTGTGGCCGCTTGAGACCAACTGGAATTCCTAATCGGTGGCAATGGTTTTTTTATTTGGCTGGGTATAAACCTGATATGATATAAACCTGGGTTTGTGGCCTCTCGTGCAGTAAAGGCTGAAGAGCACAAATGCGTCACCGTCGCAGAGGATATGTCAGTGAGTGTTAGTGCGCATGGGCGTGTTGCAAAAACATTTAAACTGAACACAGAAAGCAGCTGCTATTAGTATTAACCTGGAGTTTATAATTGATAATCTGCATAGTTTGTTCGAAGCTAAACCTCTCGATCTCAATGAGCTCCCTTCTGCCACTTGCGCAGATGAGCCAGCAAAAAAAGAAAAAGAACTTAAACAGATTGAGTAAAAAGGGTGTAGTTTTGTCCCACAACAATAATTGTCGTTCGGCTTGCTTGTGCTTCCTTTCTAAAAAAAAACTCGGTGCTGGCCACTTTCCTATTGAGAACTTCATGTAGTGCTCGACCCGCGGCGATAGTGCAAGGAATTAAAGGACTTGCACTATCTCGCGGTCCTTTCAAAAAGACTTAACTTTTATTTGATTTTTTTTTTTAGAGTGTAGAGTCACAACCGCTGTATAAAAAACAAAAAAAAAAGCTTTTTTTTTTTTTTTTTTTATCCAGCGGCCGTGGTAGAGAGCGCGAATCGCTGCCTTTCCGAGACGTCGCACTGTCATCACACGTCACGGCGATGCCACCCTCTCGATATAACAACCGAAAGTGCCTTTTTAATATTATAAAAGTATATGCGATGCAGTGTGACAGCACTCTTTTTAGAGTTCTCCAAACACGTCTCCTTATCGACAGCAAATCCCAAAATATTCAAAATTCGTGCCGTACAAGTGAAAACTGCTGTGCGTCCGGAATTGGCTACAAATACTCCAACCATCACAGGATATAAATCAAATTCTATATGGATGCTTCCGTTTCGGTGAAATTTTGTATGTGCTTAGTTATCGCCTTCAGTTCGTGTCGTGATTTACTTGTGGAATTCTCTATCATGTCCTACACAGCCGTCCTCCATGGTCAAAACTCACTAAAAGATATGCCGTGAGCATTATGACTGGACAAATATGTTTGCACCTCTGTGGTTCGACAGTGCTCTGAGCACGCTGCTTTTCCTTCCGATCTCGAGCATTTTAAATAGGCGCTGTCACCTGTGCAAGCGATGCGAGGCGCTGAATGATTCAATCCGCGTCACCGATGCAACAGGTGTCGCCGTCGCGTTCCTGCTGCACCCGTCCCCCATGATCTGGCCACAGAACACCAGAGAACGGAAATTGTACCTTTGGGCTGTTGTATCAAAATAACATGCAAATACGTAGCGGCGGCGTACTAAACTGCAAAACGCGAGGCGAGATAGCGCTGGTAGTACTATCATCATCAAATAATTGACGCAGTTTTTGTTGTCGGTACAGTGTAGTTGTCGGGCACGGAGGAAGAAAAGGTAAGGAGAGGCCCTGACGTCACTCGTTGTGAAGCCGCGATGAAGCCGGAAGTCGGCCATATTGACTAGGCAAATTCTCCTCTCTTGTTTACATATGGATACACTAGGAACAACTCTGGCGCTAGTGCCTACGGGAGCTGCAACGCACGGCGCTTCAGAGAGCATGGGAATGATGGGTAGCACACACATTTGTCTAATCTTCGTACTTCTGCCCTGCTTTTAGCTTCGTTTGTGTTCGTGTGGCTTGAAGCTGTTTTCTCACAAAACAAAAAAATCAGCAAATGTTCAGTGATTGTGCTTCACCAACTTATTTTTTAAAGCTTATTTTTTTAACCCAGGTCACAAAGTTTAAAAGGTTTTGTTCTTTTCTTTAAAACAAAACCGTAACCAGCAACAAACGAAGCCGCAAGTACGATTCTCCACCCACAAGTACGAAGACTAGGCAAATGTGTGTACTACCCATCATTAGAGGTGTGCGCTGAAGGGTCGGCGCGCCGTCGCCAAAAATTTTTGCTGCGCTGCCGCCTCCGACGCCAACCGATCGGCGCGCCGCCGTCGCCGACGTGTTTAGTCGGCGCGTCATTTAAATAAGTTTTTTTTTTCCAGCTTGTCTACGTTTATTTTGCATCTTCTGTCACCAGTCTGGCCTTAATTCTGTCCACTTCGCAAATGCATCAAAATTGGTTCAGCTGCCATTTCAAGTTAGATAGGTGGGACTATAACAAAAAAAAAAAAAAACCTTGTCGAGTGCTCGTAATAATGTTGGATTATATTTAAACGTGAATTTTAAGATACTTTTGAGTTCACTATATTTCAGTGAATCCCGTTCAGTGACATCACCAACGGTGGTTTTTGGCGATGACTGTCGACATATTCTAGCTGACGAGAATATGTAATATGTGAGGTGGGCTTTGAACAATGATGAAGGATGGGAAAGTCGGTACTGGAATATTCATAATTATGAGTATGCAAGCGAGTCGAAGAACAAAGCCAGTTCAAATGCGAAGGGGGGGGGGGGCAGAACTGCGGAAAGTCGGTACTGGAATATTCATAATTATGACTGTGCAAGCGAGTCGAAGAACAAAGGCAGTTCAAATGCGAAGGGTGGGGGCCAGAACTGTGGACGCGCTAGGTAGAAGCGCGATGTGTAATGAAGATATTGTTATAACTGAGGAAGGACTAGCTGTTTAGGGCATATTTACTAAAAAAAAAGATCAGTTAAGAAACTGGACTACACGCATGGCCTTTAATGAACAAAGAAGGGAAAATGAAAATTAATATACGAAATGCTCCATCAAACAGGAACGATTTCACTGTATCCGCAGGTTGAGCAGGATCAACAGTATCGAATGAAATAATGATCTCCATAAATTAAGTTTGTGTAAAGTGTAAACTAACCCACAGAAGATGAATGCGGACAAAACACTGAAGCGTGGGCTTGTATTTTCAAGGCGCTTTGTCCTCCACACCGTGCGTTGTTCCACGCCGCGCTATCAAATCAAGTAATCTGCGTTTCCTTCACTTATTATCTCGGACCTAAATCAACTAACTATAGATGCCGATTTGTCACAACCTTGTTTCAAAAAGGACACCACATACGTAGCTTGCTCGGCGAGTTCGTTCATAATATTTTTGGAAGAACAAGCTAAGGAGCTCCAGCTGACAGGGCATCAAGCGACATGTTTATGGCGGAAAGTCTACAAACCAATGTACCAGAAGCGCATTTAAGAAAACTAGGCTGAGGTGTTCCACAGCTGCACACCTAACACTACAAAAACAAGAAGCATGTCAAAATGGTACAAACAGCACACTTCCATGATCAACGCCACGTGCACCCGCTATCTAGCAACGTGAATCCCTTATCTAGCTGTAAGGACAACTGAAGGACCACTTATACATGCGTTTCACTTTGCCCTTTTTTGTTTGTTTCTTAAGGTTTCAAAATATTCGCGTTCAATCTATTTCTTCCTTTGCCAATGACACTGATATATTGGGGACGCAGAGATTAGCAGAGAGGTCAGTTTTGTGCCTGAAGAATGTTCACACTAGGCGTCGACCTGTCTGATCTCTGTAGACACGGCCGCATGACAAAGGAATTTCTTTCGAATCATTGTATGTCATTGGCAAAGGAAAAAAATATTGAACGCGAAACTCGTGAAGCCTTCGAAATAAAAACAGAGAGAAGTGTCATGTGTGATTGATCCCACAGCTTTCCTCACAGATCAACTTGGTGTTGATATTTTGGTGCTCGATGAATATCGGCTGCTTCATACCACCACCTTGAGACATTTTTTGTGCAACTGTGGTTAAGATAGCCTTTTTAAGCATGTGTTTCTGGTTAATTTTTGTAGGCGCTTTCTGTATTAAAATTTAACTTTAAGTCCAGCACTTGTCTTTTCTGGTTCCTACGCAGCCTTCATGTTTTTCGTTGATTTGTTCTTGCGTAGATTGGTAAATATCATCCCTATTATCGTTATGTGGGCATAGCAACCACCCTTACACTCTTTCTCATTCTCCCAAATTTCGTCATCGTGAACGCCCACAAAAGGTCTTCATCAACAAGAACGAGAGATGTGTTACCATTATAAATCGGCAAATTCACTGATGAGTCTATCAGAGGAATTGAAAGACTCAGATTGAGGCGTGAATCGGAGTCTGAGTGAGTCCGCCTAAGTTATACTTAGGTAAGCCTCAGTCCGAGTGAGCCAGGCTGGGTTTTACCACGAAGACGTCTGAGTTCGAGCGAGTTCCTAGTTCGATTCAGCAAATTTTGGTTAGTCTGGGTCCTTGCGAGTCATATGCGAAAAAAAAAAACTTATTTAATGAGGTCGGCGTCTTTTTATTTTGCTGATCTATGGTTACAAATATTTATAGTCTCTTTTTATGGCGTACCTTGTAATTGTGTATGTGCCGGCTTGTAAAGCCACAGAATTAATTTCTAAATTGTAAATCTGTCTCATTCCCCACACCCTTGAAACTCGTTCCAGTGAAGGTCCTCAATAAAAGCCACTGGCTCATATCTTCGAAAAAAATGATAACCTCAACTTAAATGCACGGAATGAAATGGCGACACAAAATGCACCACTGAGATGAGATTTCAACATTATATAATGCTAACGTGACTAAAAAGTTAATGCATACTGCCTGTTTCTAAGGTGCACAGCTATTTGTAAATTTTTTGCAGTGTATTTGGTCACGGAGCCATTGCCGTTCGCGCCGGCGTGTTTTCACAATTTGAAGTTAGAATTTCCAACAAGACGTTTGGAGTATCTCCTAAAAAAAACTCATAATTTTGGTGATGTAATACTGATTTTAGGCATCGCTTTGGCTTCAACTTTATTGCCAATAGGTAATGCATTTATAGAGTACACCGTTCGCCGACTCTGACAAAGTATAATGAGCAATTTATGCTCATGCATGCTACAAAACTCGTATGATCTTTTCTCAGAGAAGAACGCATGTCGGATTGTGATAATAACTAGAGGGAAAACTGAATAATTATCCGTAACTTCGTTATTATGTATCTAGTGGAATTCACAACTGTTCGGAATAAATGAACATGGCTTTAGGAGGACATGAAAGTGGGTTGTGCAGCATGTTCTGGCACATGTGCAACTCCCGGGAGTTTCATTACGCAACATCGTGACTTACATTGAGGTTGATCTACAACTATGTCCCCAAATCAAAGGAAAATGAGCACTGTATTCCACCTTCATAAATCATGGGGCTTCCAAGGCGACAGAGCAGCACGATTCGCGAGCATCGAGTACCTCTACGCTCTCTCCTGCATTGAACTGCTTGTCCTCAGATGCAGCTTCCGTTCTTTGTATTAATAAATGTGGCGATTCAAAAATTACGGAGCGAAAAACAAAATATTCACAAGAACGAGAGAGACAGGACGGGCGCTTGTGAAGGCCCTTTTGATGTATTGTTTTGCGCTAATTAAGTTTACATCTCGACGAATTTCAAGTTTTTTTAATGTAGTGACAACACATGCTGTCTGCTTTTATATCATTTCCTGCCGTGTGCTACGTTGAAAGATTTCCGAATGGATTTCAAGGAGGAAGGGGGCAAGAATTAACACACCGCTCCTGCCGTGCGCGATGCTTAGTCATTGGAGAAAACAAATTCCTTCAAACTGTAATGCTGTCAAAGATTTTGTGACCCCCTCAGGAATTGAGAAGCTTTTAAACATTTTGCCAGAACGCTTGCCAGAACGACAGCATAGCAGCGCCGTTTATTTTTTTGTATTTTTTCTTACTCAAACTCTCTTCCATTCACAGTCAGGTTCGTGCGCGATGCTTAGTCACTGGAGAAAACAAATTCCTTCAAACTCTAATGCTGTCAAAGATTTTGTGACCCCCTCAGGAATTGAGGAGCTTTTAAACATTTTGCCAGAACACTTGCCAGAACGACAGCATAGCAGCGCCGTTTTTTCCTTTTGTATTTTTTTTCTTACTCTCTTCCATTCACAGTCAGGTTTGACACGTGGAAGCAATTTCGGCGGTTCCTCACCTGCCATTGTGTTTGCCCAGTCTATTCTGCGAAAAGCTTGACGACACGAGCTTTTCGAAGGCTCAAATTACTCATACCTGAGCTTTTGCGTTCTTTGTACGCCCCAAGGAATGCAGACAGGCTACATAACGCAGCAACGAGCTCTACTCTCCGGGTTTAGGGCCTGCAGCATAGATATCTGTATTATTTCAAAATTGAGCATTCGGTAGAAGCCTCTACTTGGTTGGGATAAAAAAAAAACAGAAAACTTTCACCAATATTCATATTAAGAAACCCGATGTTTTGAAGCCTGATTGGCTTTTCTCTTCAGAAGTGAGAAGGCCCGAGATGTTTGCCACCACTCGTTGCAAGTCCTGGAAGTGGAGAAAGGCAGTGTCCCCAGTGGTGGGGTTGTTGTCTTCCACTATCTGCTGACTGTGCCAGT